GTCCGAGGAGGAGGAGGAGAAGGAGAAGCAGGAGGAGGAGATGAGGTTGCAGGCTGACCCCTGTCCCTGTGCTCTGCATCACTCATATGCAGGCCCTGGGGCTGTGCACTCTGGGATGTCAATGGGGGTAAAAGTAGGGGGGAAAAAAGGGCCAGGGGGCTGATATATGTGGAAGACGCTGAATTTGATTGGGGGGGATTGTTTTGAGGGGCAGCTGCAGCAGCTGCTGCAGCAGCTGGAGAGGCGCAGGGGTCTCGGCGGGTCTCCCCGCGCTGCTCTCACCTGGAGGTGCAGGGAGCGCAGGCTCTGGGGCAGGGGTGCCGGGATGTAGTCCAGCTCGTTGTCAGACAGATGGAGGAACTGCAGCTGCGTCAGGTCCTGCAGGGAGGCGGACAAATGTCCCATCTCAGGGAGATGTTAATCTCCTTGCTCCTCCTCTGCGCCGCCCCGGTTACCCCTCGGTACAGTGGTTTTGGGCTAAAAGCAACCAGCATTCATCCACCAGCTTCTCCTTTGTGTAACAGGAGGCTAAGCCGGGGCTGAGGGTGCCTGGCACAGCGTGGCACCCGCCAGCACCCGGCACCCACCCGGAAGGCTTCAGGTCTGACGCCAGCGCTGGGGATCCTGTTGAGGCGGGCGTCCAGCCCAACAAACGCCGGTCTGGCGGGAGAGAAAGAGGGAGGGGGTGACCAGGGGCGCACCAGCCCCCCGTAGCTGCTTATTTCCCCTGTGCACAGCATGAGGCCGGCCGCCTTGGCCAAGCGATGGGAGCCCCTCGTCCCCGAGAAACCCTGTGCACGGAGAGGAGCAGGAGCACAGCACAAGCCTTGCTCCACAGGTCTGGGGCATCCTGGCCGCAGGAGTGGCGTGAGACCCTCGGTTGCAAGGAGGCCAAGGGGGTTACGGCACGGAGAGATGCCTTGGACCTGCTCTGGGGCACAACAGGGGCAGGTCGGATCTGGGCATGGTGCAAAGCAGGTGCTGTGCAGCAAGCTTTGTGCCCCTGGGGGGGACCCAGCCTGGCTGGTGACAGCGGCTCGGCCCGTCCCTCGCCTCGACATACTCATCCCCACGAAATCGCCGGCTCGGATCTCGCCGATGCGGTTGAAGCGGGCGTAGAGGTAGGCGGGCTCCCGGGGCAGGGGCGGGGGG